AGGTGGATAAATATGGCCACAAATTCTTCACAGCCCTTCCAATCAGTTTGAATCTGTGCTGCCTTTAGGACTTGATTTGACCCACAGAATGTAGGTCACAAAGTGACATTGTCACAAAGTGACAATGTATGGCTTCTGAACTTTGGCTTCCAAAGACCTTGCAGCCTCTACTCTCATACTCTTGACTTTCTGAACAAGTCACCTTGTGGACAAGCCTGAATTAGCCTATGTGAGGATGAGACCTTACCAGGGATGTCCAGCCTGGCCCAGGATAGCTATGAATGTGGCCCAACACAAAATCATAAATTTACTTAAAACATTATGAGTTTTGATGATTATGTATTGCAATGTATTTAATGTGTTAAGAGTTGACCCAAGACAACTCTTCTTCCAGTGTGGCCCAGAGACACTAAAAGGGTGGACACCCCTGCTAGATAGAGAGGCTAATGGAATAAGGCCCAGCTGTTACAACCACCCCAGCTGCAACTCCTGACATGCAGTGAGATCTGCAAATGCATGTCCTCAGCAGAACTATTAAGCTAAGCCCAGATTACACTGCCAAACTAAAGAATGGGGGCAAATAAATGCTTGCTTAAAGTCACCAAATTTGTAGTGTTGTTTAACTCAGCAATAGATGTGGATACAAACTTAATCATGCCCTCAGTCTAGTTAATTAAAAAAAAAGAAGCATTTCCAATTAAGCAAGCAACTGTACCCAGAAGTGACTTACTCCATGCCAAATGGGGGAGTTAATGGGTAAATGGGACTGTTAAGCATTATTTTCCTTTGTTGAACAATCTCATTCAAGTTCCCATGCTGAAAATTTTCAACACATTTCTCAGAATTAGCTTTACATAATAGCTTTATTCCATGAAAAAAGACATATTCTTTAGTGCTTCAATAAAACACACCTTTTATCTGTCATCTTAAAGGGAAGTAGTCCTCATTTTTCTAATTTTCTATCCTGTTGAGTATTTAACCATAGTTTAAAGTCAAAAGCAGGAAAAAAAATAAATCTTTTTTAGGCCAGATGTTAAAATGCTGAGAAAAACTGGAGATAATAGAAAGTTTTAAATCAGAAAACTAGAATCCTCCTTTAGTTGGTCAGATGTTCAAAGGAACAGAAAACAGGATGAGTGCTACACAAGTGGGAGACAAGGCCATTTAAACAAATGCGGAGCCAAATTAATTTTGATTTTCAAACTATGTGATTTGTGAGTAAATGGGGACCACTGGTTCTCATTCTATGTCACTAGTAGGGCCAGGGTTAAAAATCAGTTTCTCTTCTATGATAGTTTAGTGGTGTAATTCTGTAGATGTTTGCATTCCAGATTTCCCGTGTATCTTGTTTACTATTTTTTTAATTGGAATTGTGGGTCAGGATCTCCACTCATGCTGTGATCTGTCCGTGGTACTTGGAAAAGCTCACTAGAATGTAAAAAGATTCCCAGAGAGCCACAAAAGCAGTCAATTTATTTATTTTATTTTTATTCTTTTAAAAGATTTTATTTATTCTAAGAGACAAGGAGAAAAGACATCGATGTGCAAGGAAGGTTGCCTCTCACAGGCCCCTAACTGGGCACCTGGGCCACAACCCAGTCATGTACCCTGATCAGGAATCAAACCAGTGAACTTTTGGTTTGTGGGACAACGCCCAACCCAACGCCTAGCCACACCAGTCAGGGTAAACACAGTCAATTTAAAGCTCTCTGAGATGCTAAGACAGTGTGGAAATCACAGAGGGACATTTGTTTAGGTTTGGGTAGCACTGGTAAAGTAAGACTGCAAGGATGTAGCACCTGACACACACCCCTCCCCAGCTCTTAAATATTTTTAAGGTAGAATTGTATATGGTAGGAATCACAGAAAGCTAGAAAGACAAGTAGCAGTTACACAGTTAAAAAGAAAATTGTGTCATTTCTTTTGGATGTCTTCAAAGTGAGTTATTGTACCTTTTTTCTGAGATAATGTTTCCCCCCTCATGTTGAGAAGTTCTGGCCCTTAGACTTGTGATGGGCTCTCTAGTACAGAGAGGAAGTACGGTATAGTGATCAAACACATGGGTGCTGGTGGGCTTGTTCTGTGACCTGATAATGGTGGTTGTTAACCTATAAAAATATTATAACCTATAGAACAGTAGATCAAAAGGTAAACAAGTCAGTTTTACTATATAATTTAAAAAACTCACAGGGGTGTTGGAGCTAGGCTGCTTGGGTTTGAATCAGAGCTCCATCACTTATTACCTGTGTAACCCTGGACAAGGTGCTTGAGCCTCGGTTACCTGATCTGTAAATGCAGGTAATACTACTTCCTGCATGGGGTTGTTGTAAGGATTCGGTTAATATACGTAAAGCACTTCAGATAGCACCTGGCTCAATGCAAGAGCTAGCTGCTGTTATAGGAATGTAAAGAAATTAATGATATGATATATGGGCCATCCTATGACTACAGCAACTGTGAGTAGTCTGAAATACAACTAATGTGAGGTACTTCTGCCTTTATGTAAGAAAGGAAGAAACCCTAGAAAAGTATAAATTCTACTGAGCAAATTTAAGTCTGCTCTGTTGCTACTGTCCAGGGAAGACATAAACTAACCAATCATACAAACAAAAAATTCCCTCATTCTCCTAATTCATTCATTTGTGCATTGAATGCCTATTTTCCAGGGACTTACTGAAAAGTAAGAAATTATCTTGGCAGTTTTTCACTTCCCAAATCACCTGATGATGTGTCCTTTAGCACATGTGTCTTTTTTTTGGTGGTCTCGGTTTTCTTAAATTTACTGCAGCTACAGGCCAAAGGTACCAACAATGTCTGTGATTAAGCATCATACCTATTGCATCTATTGCAATGAGAATGTTAAGACCTAATATTCTTCTAGTAGGTTCACTACCCAGAAGGTAAATTCTGAGAATTATTTAGGAAGTAAAAGGAAAGTTTTGAAAAACAGGAATCTGGGGTTTCCAGCCAACGGGTGTTGTAAGGACGATCTAAATATATACTCAGAAATATTCAGATAGTGAAACTCTTTTGCTAAATGGATGCCCTTTGACAGGAAGGGAAAAGGTGAGGCAACATTCCTATACGGTATTCAAGTATCAATCTTGACCAGTCCCTTGCCACTACAGGTCATGACAGAGAGGCATTAAGAGCAGGCAGAGGTGCTACCTACTTGATTCACATGACTCTGAAGTCTTGTTTTTAATGTTTAAGCATTACTCTTTGACAGTTGAGGGAAAACAATTCCCCTGGGAGGAGGAAAGCAGCCAAGAGAAAATGGAACAGTTTGAGAAAGAATGGAAATGATTCTATTGCTCCATGAGGCAGAGCCAAGTGGGAGGGCAGCCAGGGTAAATGATCAGAGGCTGTCTACGAAACAGCTTGCCTCAGCGCTGGGTGCCTACCCAGTGAAGCAATAACAACTCTGCTACGGCTGGGACAGCTGAAGCTCCAAGTTAGTCATCTGCAGGAAACGAGTCTTGATCTCCCTTTTGCAAGAAGTGTCTGAATGATCAAAAAACACAAGTGCATAAGATTGAATCTGCATGCCACTTCTCCTTGGTCATGGGAAGTGTGGCAAGTATCATAAACAAATGTAGACTCTCGGGAACTACACAGTAAGCCCTAATGATGGGTACAGCTTGCCGTTTATGGTGATTAAAAATCCAAAGTGTGTTAAACTGAACTTCCTCAGTAACTTTAGAAAAAATGGTGCTGGTTTAAAGAGGGGGAAAAAAAGTGTAACTTTAAAAAATAAAACTGAGTTTAGTGTCACACAGAAATTAAAAAGCCCTTTAAGGCACATATATTGTCTTTTTAGTTGTCATGAATACAAAAGAAGTGGCACACCGAACACCACAAGGCCACAGACCCAAGTAAACGATCTAACATAAACTTGCTTGTTTTCTAGCCATTCAGAACCTGTTCTGTGGAATGAGGGGGCTGTCCTGACACTTAGCCATTAATTTGTCCTCTTTACTAATTCCTGCAAGCTGCCATGTGTAAATGATTACTGACTCAAGGGAAGTCTTTATACTCAGATTAATGGATTAAGGAGCATCAGTAAACTGACTAAAGCTCAGAAACCAACTTTCTTAAAGCAAAATCCACTGTGGACCAGTTGAATAGGCCCGCAGTGATCCTGGCCTGCATTAGGTTAGCAGAATATCAAGTAAATTAATGCCAGATCCTAGCAGAAGTTCTCAACTCTCTAATCATGGAGTGTCTTTGTGTGTGAGGCACTGGAACCACCCTTTCCTGGCTTTCCTGCTTTTTTTACTGAGAATCATAAAAGGTTTGGACTGAGAAAAATCTGTCATTTCCTCATTTTATAGGTGAGAAAATGAAGACCCGAGGAAATGAACTAATATAACTGGGGAAAGGGAAACTTAGTAAATTGCACTGTTTGCAACTCCTAGCAAGGCACCTCGGGACATTTTTAGACATGCCTCAGTCAAGCTTTATGAAATAAAACATTGAATTTTTGAGGTAAAAGAGACCTGAGGATAACAGTTATGAATGTTAAAAATGAAATCTTCATTAGTCAAGAGGCCTAAAAGCCTAGAGAGAAGAGGGAGAGATGTTCTACTTTCAAAAATATGTTTTTAGCAATTACCAGGGTAATGGCTGCATCAGTTTTTAGGTTCTGTATTTCTCTACAAATGCCAAGTTTCCCATATTCCCTTGATTTTTTTCTAAAGAGCAGACCTAAGCTGCAAACTATGAACAGTAGATAAAAATATAATGGCAGCAATTTAACTTTGTAAAACTAAGGGTATTTCGTTCTGTCCAAAGTGAAAAACGAGAAATAACCTACCAATTTGAACTTGGGAAGCTACCGCCCTCTGGAGGGTGAGTTTAAAAATGTCAGCGGTAGTTTTAGTTTGCCACCGTGACTGATGGAGTAGGGTGGAGAGGCTACTGGCATTTATTATCTGGGAACGAGGGATGGCCCCACATACTTAAGTGCAGTTTTAAACATAAAAAACTACCTTCCTCAAGATGCCTATAGTACTCATTTTCAAACACGATGAAGGACAGATCTACAAAGTTTTTACAAGTTGCATTTTAAAATATTACCTATTTATTCTGAGAGGACTTAGTGAGAAGAGGGACTAGAGGGTACATACTGACAGAACAAGAGACTATCAAGAAGTTTATGCTGCCTCAGCTGAGTACCTCAGTTGGGTAGTGTCTTCCGATTCTCTAAATAAGTGGAAGAACAAATCAACATTTCTCTTTCTCTCCCTTTCTCTCACTCTAAAATCAATAAAATAAAATAAAGCAATTTAAAAAGTTTATGTTAAACCCTAGTCTACAAGAAATTCACAGACCTGACTGCGTTTCAGGCCAGCATATCCCACTAGCATTTATCTCAACTTCAGACAAGGAAGGCATCTGGAACTTGACTTGCTAATTGCTCATTGTATTCATCTAGGAATAACAAAAGATAAAAACATCTGATTGATGTAATGTTATATAGTGTATACAAATGTTAAAATGGTTAAACTCTCGGATAGTTGCACAATAGACTATGGAGGCTGACAAGATATAACTTGAACCTTTTTTTACCTAAGATTTTCAGACACTTTTAACTCATGTATGGTAAACTTTTATTTATTCTCCAGTGTTCATTCTCCCCTTCTCTTCTTAAGTAAGAAAAATCTGAAATGGTCCCTATTTTCCCCACATCGCCCAGCTTCTTGTGGGTGCCTATGGCCATGTGACTGTTGAGCAATGACTGTGTGAACTGGTGTATGCAACTTCAGGTTGGCCCCTTCTTTTAAACAGGGAAGCTGCTTGCTCTTCATCTCCACTCCTGTCTCCCTCCCACTGGGAAAGGGTGGCCACCCAAGCAAACACCAGGCCGAGAGATGGAAGTCGTGGAGTGTTCCACCAGCTGGATCCTTGGTCGACCACATGGTGCAGAGCCACCCACTCACTTCTATCTTACTTGGAGAAATTGATTTTCTGCTACCTTTTCATATGCCGCTTGCTAAGTTGTCCTCTTAACTAGACTGCAAATAAGAAGTAACATCTGGTCTCAATAAAAAAACAGTAGTGAGAGAAACTTGAATGTAGCAAAACTCCTTTTTAGGTGTACGAGTATTTGGGTCACACTTACATACACACCCTCCAAGAAAACTTGTATTTACAAACTTAGTACATTACAAATAGGCACAGTTCTGAGTAATAAAAAAAATTACAGCTCTATAGTTAATATTCGGCATGAGCAAGGTCAGCTTTATATTTTCATCTGCTTTTTCTTCTTCCGCAGATTGTACACAAGGGAAGGAAGCTTCTTGGTTTTATAGGCCACGCTTTTCTTGATGCGCTCTCCTTTGATGTTAACGATATGTGGCAAGAGAGGGGGCCGCACTGTCAGCGCTGTTCCTTGAGGGGTATAGCCACGGAGATGCAGTCTGTCCTTAAACTGAGGCGTTACTGCAACCCAACCTGTGCAGGCATGTGACAGAACACAAAATGGTATCAGCAACTCTCTGCCTCCTCTCCCCCACTACCACAAATTATGCAGTCGAGTTTTCCACAGTGGGGGACACCACAGGGGTCAGCGCATCCAGAGTGCAGTGGATAAGCCTCGCCCTGGGAAAACCACCTTCACGTGAGATCATGGTGCCTGTCCTGCCAGGTAAGTATGTTAGCAACTGTCTTAATGAAAACACTAAACCTGCCCTACAAAGGAAACTCCGTTGGTTAGAGGGTTGTCCCAAAACGCTAAGGATGAGGGTTTGATCCCCAGTCAGGGCACACAAAAGAATGAACCAATGAATATATAGATAAATGGAACAACAAATTGATGTTTCTCTCCCCTTTCTCTCTCTCTCTCAAATCGATAAATAAAAAATTTAAAAAAGAAAAAGAAAACCACTACACTAAAACTTAAAATGGAGCACTGAAGGAGGCTACTGTTCTCTTTCACTCAATTTTTTAAAAAAGCATACAATGCATTTGTAAAAAGTTACAAATTTACTTTCAGAGTAGGTTGCATTTTATGAATAAACTAGTATGCATACCTTAAAATACTCACCTTATGTTAGTTAAGGCACATTTCAACAAAAATATAAAAAGTCTGCTTTATTCACCTTTAAAGAAGGGCCTGATGTAAAATTACCTGCAGAGGAAAACTTGATGTCGGCCACTGCTTCAGATTCCCCAAGGCCTTCTTCTAATGCAATGTCTTCAGCAACAAGAGGAGGAAATTCTGCCATTCGTTCCTTGCCACCCATTGGAACCTTCCAAGCAGATAAAATGAAGACGTTTGGAAGTTCAAATTAAATTCCCCATAACTCTGATACTAATTAAAACACTGGTAAGATAATTCTGTACAAGGATCAAGAATAAAATCTTTTTAATCATTAACTATTGAAAAAAACCCCCAATCACTTCTAGGTCAAATGAGAAGCACAGGAAGCTTCCAGTTCCCAGTGCCAGGGGCCACGTGTGGGTGGTAACTTCCTGATAGCAGAATCTTGCTTTATTAGTTTGCACTGTTTTTACAGCCCTCCATAAAGCCTTACACAGAGTAATGTTGGGCAATTAAAGCAAATCTTTCCAAATACCTTAGCCTCTTATAAGCTGCCCACAAGGATTAACCCCTGCCTCATGACAAGTCAAGGGTACATATACAAGATACTGCTTCTATGTTTACGGATGTTTCCATGAATTGGAAGTGACTGGATAATAACTATTCATTAACAGGTATCTCTGTGTTTAGCACTAGGGACAAAATTGATGTTACAGTATGGACTCTTCCCCCAGGAAGATCAGAAGATCAGTGGAAATAACATGTAAACCAATTACAAGGTAAGAAATGTGATGAGAGGCATTTATTAAGTACTATGGTGGTGGAGGAAGAAGTAATGAATGGGTTTTGGACAAGGAAAACATTAATGAAGCAGCAATATCTATGCAGTATTTTGAGAAACAGGCCAAAGTGATTCAGTGGAAAGTTATTCTGGGTTAGCATCATGTATAGATACAAAATAAGGAAAAGGGATAAGTTGGGGAACTGTAGTTTACCTGTCCAGAGTATGTTGTGTGTCTATATATTAGAGATGAGGCTATCAGTGCAAACTTCTCAGTAATGTGAAACTACCAAGGGATTATAAAGAGGAAAGAGAACAGAGATGATAACCACCACCACCACCACCACCACGACCCGCTCTGTATTTGGGGAAGATCTCTCCAGTGCTGGGCTCTCAACCTCAGCGCCACTGACACTGCACTGGACGATGCGTTGTTGGGGACTGCGGAGGCTGTCCTGTGCAGTGTCAGCCTTTTAGCAGCATCCTTGGCCTCTACCTGGTACCTGCCAAGTTGTGAAAACCAAAAATGTCTCCAGTCATTGCCCAATGTCCTTTGGGGGGCAAAAATCAATGCTGGTTGAGAACCACTGCTCTTGTGGCGGGGAGGTTATGTGTGAGGTGGGGGTGGGAGGAGGGCGGTAAAAACTGGAAGCTGAGAAAATGCTTAAGGATCTCAAAAACAGCCTAATGAAAGCAGATTGCAGCTTGAGCTCCAGGGCTGGATTCAGAGAGGAACTGCTTAGGCCACACTGGGAGAGACAACTGGAATCATTGCTTTGGAAAGTATCAGTAATGTCCGTTCTGAAAACTAGAGAGATACATGGGGTAGAGCAACACGGAGTTCATGTTTCTGAGCGCCATGTCATATAAACTAAGGAAGTCTTCTTTCCTGCAAGTCTCAAGCTGTACTTCAACTTACTACTTCATCTTAAAAGTGAACAAATGGAATAGAACTAAAGCCCTGTGTTGTAGAAAAAGTAACAGATCCTATATTGCCAACTGCCTTTGTGTGCTCACCCACTTGGCAAATCCTACAAGTCTGGAATATTAACTTAAGGGCAGTTACTTCAATGGAGTTTTAATTTCAGTCTGGCTTTTTTTAGGAAATCCAGAGAGAAGCATTTGTATCTCAAGCCAGGCTACTTTTTATCATCTTTGAAGGGCAGATGTGTATTTTGTGTTTTGATTTATTTTTGGTTGCATGAGCATAAATTAATGTTAAATTACCTCTGCATTGGGTGTACCTGGTATTTTTGCAACATTTGTGTTCCACCACTATCGCTGTCACTGCCACAGATGCTTACATGGCGCTTAGACCAGTGCCCCGGAACTTAATCCTCCCCAGACCTCAACCTCACGATGGAGGTTCAACACAGAGAGGTAAAGGTGACTTTTGCCTAAAGTCACACAGCTTTGTGTGGGGTAGAACGGAGTGGAATTTGAGTCCAGTGTTGCTCCAGTGGTCTTAACCACTATAAATACTCGCTGGCCAACAGTGTCTACAGCATGTCTCATTAGGGAGCTGAAAACAATCCCGACTGAGTCTTTGGTGAATTTGGTAAGAACAATTTTAGTGGCACAGAAGGGCCAAACAGGGACTTTAGAGGAAGGGGCATGAGGAAGCAGGAGCAAGCTTGATTGTTAAAAAAAGGAATAAAAAGGACAATGAGTTTTGTTTTTAAAGATGAGACCTTATCATATTTATAGATTGAACCTTATCATATTTATCATATTTATAGATTGAAGAAAGGAACTAGTAGAACAGGAGAAAAGAGGTGAGATAATCTCTAAATGCCTGGGATTAAGAAGCTGGGAGGAGAGTTTTTCTGCCCAGACCAGGGCCTTTCAACATTGGCAGTGCTGATACTTTGGACGAGATAATTCTTTGCTGTGAGGGGCTGCCCTGTGCACTGCGGAATGTTTAGCATCATCCTTGGCCTCCACCTATTAAGGTGCCAGTAGGGTCCCAGAGTTCTGAGAAAATCTGTAACTTCTCTTCACTCAGCATTATCCAGTACAGCTTTCTGCAATGATGTGACTGCTGAGCTGCTGAAAAGTGGCTAGTGCAACTGAAGAACAAAATGTTAAATTTTATTTACTTTTAAATTAACTACTTTAAATAGCCACATGTGACTACCATATTGGAAAGTATAGGCTAGAGAAAACACAGCTCTGTAGCTCTTCTAGGATCGGTCCAACATTCCTTTTCTTATAGGGCCCACTTCATTTTGTAGCCAAATCCTCCAGGAGAACAAGGTGAGGGGAGAACTAGCTGATGGTATAACAAAAATGGTTCTGTCTAACAAAGCATTTCTTTGCAGGGCCGTGGGGCAGTATGTCATGGTGTATGTTAACCTAAAATGTGTCACCTCACCTTGAGTAATGTATGACCTGCATGCTTCTGGTATATAGCATCTGCCTTGTCCAAGGAGGTAATGTGCACAGGAAGGAAGTTGGAAGCCACAACTGTAAACCAAGCTGACTGACTTCCCTTAAGAAAGAAAGAAGTTATTTTACAGAATGAAAAACTTGCAAAACCAGCACATTATAAGACATGATTTAAAAAAAATTAAGCTCCCTTTTTTTACTACTGGTATGGCAGCTATAATCAAACTGTATTAATGCCTAAAAATAAGGGCACAACATAGCAGAAGCACTGCATTTCAACAGTTTATGTAAAACTATGATTCCTTCCATAGGCTTGTTGATATCGTTTAAAGAAAAATGCTTCTCTTTTTAAAAAAGACAAAAAAAAAAATTTACTCATTTTTAGACAGAGGAAGGGAGGGAGAAATTGAGGGAGAGGAACATCCATGTGTGGTTGCCTCGCGCGCGCCCTACTGGGGGCCTGGTCCACAATCCAGGCATGTGCCTTGACTGGGAATCAAGCTGGTACCCCCTTGTTTTGCAGGCTAGCACTCAATGCACCAAGCCACACCACTCAGAGCTAAAGAAAGATACTTCTCTTTAAAAAAAAAAAAAAAAAAACCACGGAAATACTGTCTGCTTCAAACTGTCTCTGGGTAAAGTTAAGTTTAAAAAATTAACATTCTGTGAGTTTTAAAGAAATACATAAGGGTTTTAAGTGTGTAAGGCTAAATTTCCAACAAATTGTGAACAAACACAAAACCCAAGGACTGTGCTAAAGCAATGGGCTGCAAGTTGCAAAACATGTTGTTGGACACAATCATGTTTCATTTTCCTTTTTCCCCTGACTTTGGCAAGAGAGCAGCAATTCCACAGATACTCTAAAATCCCTAGAATAATGCTATATAAATGACTACCAAACAAAAAACCACACATATAAAAGTATACATACATAACATGGGATATAAAGGAGTGCAGAATTTATTTAATGCACATAAACTCTGTACTTAAAGGGCTGCCCTATGATTCTCATGTGAAACAATAACACACAGGATAAGGGCAGTAGCTTTTCTTAATGCCAGCTGTACAGGGTACTCAAACTCCTATTGAAGATACAGTTTTAAGCCCTACTACTGTATTTCTCCCCCATTAATTTTTCCTAAGTTTTTTTAATGGACATTTTCTAAAGGAAAAAAGAATAGTGTATCAATGCTGTATACAGTCATGACCTAGTTATCAATATTTTCCCAGTGTTCATAAATCTGCTTCCTTAAAATAAATCCCAATACTAAGTCATTTTTTAATAATACATACGGAGTTCTCTTACCTGCAGAAAATCTATGCGGCCTATGGCACCCAAAAATAAAACCATTCCTGGTTTAAGCACAAAAGTTCTTGGAACAATGGCATGTGTTGGCAAAACAATATTTACTTCTTTTTCTGTTAGAAGGTTTAAAATCTGTGAAGCAAAGGGCAGTTTTTTTTTAGAGTTACTTTTATTGAAGATATATTGTGATTTACCTATAAGACAAAAAGTGATGAAAAAAATCCCAGATTTCACAATAAATCAAAGTATGTCAGAATTAGCTACACATGAAATTAATTCATTCTTTCTGTCTAAAAGAATCAATTTACAAATGGCTCTATGCCAATTTAGTCTTGAGTATTGACACAATAAATTTATGGGAGTATTAAATTCTAAGTCTGCAACACCCACCAAATGTCAAAATTGGCATGAACTGAAAACACTGATGTTTCAATCCCAAGATAGAAATATACGTTCTCACCATCAAGGATTCTTGGGAGCAGCAGTTTTCAGTTAAAGGTAAGGCAATAAGCTATCTTATTTCCTGGTGGCAAGTACATGTGCATTAAATGCAAAATGGTCAGAGCATTCTAGGATCAGGTAAAGAGCTTAAATAACCCCTTTCTAAATTCTGGTCTTTTGTTTCGTTATTTCCCCCAAATACTCAGCAAATATTAGAGAAAGTTATGAATCCTTTGGCTTCTAAGGATGAATAATTCCTTAATAGATTAGAGAAAGTAGAAATGGAAAGTCAGAAAGTATAAGATTCTGGTTAAGATTTAAGGAATTGATATCTGATTTAAAAAGGAAAAGAATAGAGAAGGTAAAAAAAAGGAAAAAAAAAACCTTTTGTGAACTTAGCTCTTCATAAAAAGAATAAGGAATGAAATTAGACCACTAACTTGCACCATACACCAGAATAAACTCAAAATGGATAAGAATTAAACATACGCCATGACACCATAAAAGTCCTAGAGGAAAACATAGGCAGTAAAATTCCAGATATCCCATGCAGCCTTGCAGGGGTATTCAGCCTTTTTGTATCTCTGGGCTACACTGGAAGAAGGAGAGGTGCCTTGGGCCACACATTAAATACACAAACACTAATGAAAACTGAGGGAAAAAAAGGTTTTAAGTAAATTTATGATTTTGTGTTGGGCCACATTCATAGCCATCCTGGGGTGCATGTGGCCCATAGGCCGCAGGTTGGACACTCCTACTAGAGCAAGGGAAATAAAGGAAAGACTAAACAAATAGGACTATACCAAATTAAAAAGCTTCTGCATGGCTAAAGAAAAACATTGTCAAATGAAAAGAGAAGCAACCATATAGGAAAACATTTGCCAATGATATCTTGGACAAGGGTTTGATCTCCAAAATATATAAAGAACTTATATGACTCTACTCAAGGAAGACAAACAATCCAATTAAAAAAATGGGCAAAGGACCCAATCAGACACTTTTCCAAGGACATACGGAGAGCCCAGAAGCATATGAAAGGATGCTCAACGTCACTAACCATCAGAGAGATGCAAATTAAAACCACAATGAGATACCACTTCACACTGGTCAGAATGGCCATCATTAACAAATCAACAAACAGTAATTGCTGGCGAGGTTGTGGAGAAAAGGGAACCCTAGTACTGTTGGTGGGAATGCAGCCACTATGGAAAACAGCATGGAATTTCCTCAGAAAACTAAAAATGGAACTGCCTTTTGACCCAGTGATTCCACTGCTGGGATTATCCCCTAAGAATCCTGAAACACCAGTTCAAAAGAACCTATGCACCCGTATGTTCATAGCAGTGTTATTTCCTGGAGGGGAGATGGGGTTAAGGGGGGAATGTAGGGGAAGGGTCTAATCAACGAATGGGTATAAATGACACACGGACATGGACAACAGGGTGGAGATTGTGAGGGGTGATGGGCAGGGCAAGGGAGAGCAACAGGGAAAATTGGGACAACTATAATAGAACAACAATAAGAAAAATAATAAAAAAAAGATTAAAACAGGAACATAACTCATGTTGAAAACATAAAAAAAAAATAATAATAATAAGGAAATAAAAAATGTGATACCTAGAGAGGCTCACAAGAAGATACATAAGGGGGCTGCGAGTAGTTTTCCCCAGGATTTGTGTTTGAAAAAGCACATTAAAAGCCACCTGCAGGAAAGAAACCTTTTAATACTGTTTAGACTAGAACTTCCATTTCACAACAGAATTTCTTGGTTTGGTTTGGGGAGCACTTATTTAAGGCCTCAAATAAATATATCAGTAATCTCACACCAGATGCAAACTACCTTAAAGATCCTTTATATCTAACCACTTGAGGTCTCATTCTGCTGGCGAGCATATTTAGCAAATTCTTGTCTTTTTTGACTATTTGACAAGAGGGCATATATGACTAAAGTAACTGCTATCCCTGACCTGAGTCTAAAATGGAAAAATGAGTTGAAGTTAAAGTGATAGAACATTATTAGAAAACAGTCCAATTACTCTGAAGCTTTTGATTGGTAAGAAAGACTGGACACAGCAATTATTCTAGAAGAGAGAAAAAGAAAGTTAAAAGATCCATGTGATTCTATGATATGGGTCACCAAATAGAACACAATTCTGAGAATGAAACTCTAATCCTGAGGGGACAAAGGAAGGAAAAGTACCTAAGAAACCAATGTTATTCACAGGGAGATAGAGATAATTAGGTGATTTACAAACTGGTCAGTAACCAGATTCAAAGGAAGCTGATTAATGGATCTGCGGTAAGGCTGTATCCTGGATGCATACTTGAGTCAATTAATGACTTGGATGATGATCAAAACTGCAAATAAAAAGTTCTGAGATTTATTGAGTATGTAGGATATAGGCTGAATTTAATGAGATAGAATCAAAGCTGCCCAGCTAATATTGCAATTGCATTAAAAAGATGTGAACACTTAATCCTATTCTAAATTATTCTCATATGAGGGCACTTACACAAGAAGTTTAGTTCTTAGTGTCATACTCTAAGAACAAAAACAAATTCAAAAATATCCTGCAAAGAACATACATATATAACCCATGGACATGAACAACAGCATGGGAATTGCCTGAGCGTGTGGGGGTGAGTGGGTGGGGGAGGAAAAAGGGGAAAAACTGGAACAATTGTAATAGCATAAACAATAAAATATAATTAAACACCCATTAATACTAGGAAAGAATTGCCAATAAAAATGCTATATTTTAAAAGTGAAAGAAAACATTCTGAAAGGGACACGGGTTGATGTATATAGCCTGTCAGAAGAGAACACATGTATATAATAAGAACAAGCACTCTGGATTATGTCAGCACGGTATATACTCAGTTTGCTGGATGAACTAAAGAAAGGAAAAGGCAGAGTGGGGAAGAGACAGGACATTATACTTTAAAATATTTTAAAATCTGACAAGAAAAATAGGTTATTACATCCATTCCACACAACTTTGAGGAACAGTAAGTACAAGTTACAGGGACACTGCTCACCTCAATACAAAGAACAGGTCAAAACCAAACAGGTTACCTTGGGAGGTAAGGTGTCACTGCTTCAGTTGATGATGAGTCACTCCTTTCATCAGTTCAAGCTGATGCCCTCTGATAAATGTTATAGAGGGACTTCAAACATGGATAGGCTGCTGGGCTGCAGTGCTATTTACTGCATTTAGCCATGTATAATGCACATTTTTTTGCCCAAATTTTTGAGGGAAACATAATGATATGCACTATACATGGGCATAATGATCACATACCATGGGAAAATAATCCCAAGTATAATGAGCACAAAACTGTGGGTGCACTTTATACATAGCAAAATGCAGTATGATTTCTTTCAACCTCAAAATCTATGATTCAGTAAATGTCTCCCTAACTAAGGTAACAAGCACAATAATATAAGGGTGTCAGCAGTGAAGCCCAACAAATGAAATACAGAACTTGATGGCATATAGTCATCCCTGAACCACTTCTATGAATGAATCAAAACTTAGTCTATAATGAAAGTATATCTCCTTTCCTGTGTTTTATCTTAATTGGTAGATAGTATTCATGCAATTGAAAGTTGTTTCTAAAATACATCAAATACATACACAATTTTCCTTTGTAATTCCAGGGGTGTCATAAAACCAGTGGGCATCTTTCACATCTTGTGGAGTCAGATCTACATGTTTAGTGGATTTATCTGCATCCATAACAGGTTCATTTTCCATGTCAAAGGCAAGTGAATCAGCATCAAACTCAAAGGCAGCTTCATCCTTCTGTTCTTCTGAATACAAGAATGTTCTTCCAACTCTTCCTAGAACAAGTTGTATTGAAGTTCTTAGTCACTCCTATAAAGCCTTTGACTCTAGACAGGTAATTCTTTTTTTTTTTTTAAAGATTTTATTTACTTATTTTTAGACATGGGGGAAGGGAGGGAGAATAAGAGGGACAGAAACATCAATGCGTGGGTGCCTCTTGTGCACCCCCTACTAGCGACCTGGCCCGCAACCCAGGCATATACCCTAACTGGGAATTGAACCAGGGACCCTTTGGTTCGCAGGCCAGCACTCAGTCCACTGAGCCACACCAGCCAGGGCTGGAGAGGTAATTCTTATGTTTGTGTCAAACAAGTTACCAAGACTATGAGGTATGAAAGTGAGATACAACGATAATGGCTTTGCTTTTTTAAAAAAGGCATCAGGGGCCAGACTCTTGCAAGGATCAAGTGTATGGCTGGCTGTGTACAGAGAGCACGGAAGGAAATATTGGAAGTTAAACTTTTTAGTAAATGAAGGTTGAAAAGAGATACCAAGAAAAGGGGACCATCTTATTTAAAGCTGCTGCTTAAGAGTCAACAGCCCGTACTGGTCTGCAAGGAGTGGGGCCATATCTCAGTGGGAATACTTTTCACTGTTGAAACTGGGTAAGTGGGCAGTTACTCTATGATTACTTTCCTGGATTTCTCCAAGTATCTACTCTCAATTTTCTCAGCACCATGAAGTCTGAGTTTCCAAACAGTGGCTTTGCCTCTAAAGGGCCTTGATTTTCCAGATTGAGGAAAGCAGTCTCTCCCCACAAAAACTGGCTTGCCCCGGACAGCAGTATTTCAGGTTGCTCAACAAAGAATTTTAGCATAGAGGCCTGGCCAGTGTGACTCAGTTGGTCCAGGGCCAGCCCTAAAGACCAAACAGTTGCAGGCTTGATTCCAGTGAGGGCACATGCCTAGGTTGCCAGGTTGATCCTGCTTGGGATGTGGATGGGAAGCAGCAGATCCATGTTTGTCATCCTCTCTTGCCCTTTCTCTAAGGTCAGTGAACATGTTCTGTGACTCTTCCTCTCTTTCTCTCCCTCCCTTCCCTTCTCTCTAAGGACTGACAGCATGTCTTCTGCTGAAGATAAAAAAATAAAAAAAAATTTTAAAAGGAATTTTTAGTGTAGACCCCAAGTGTCTTCCTGTAGAAGATGCTTACCTACTACATAACCGTGCTTTTTTAAGAGATGAAGTTGGTTTTGTTCTTGCTGACTAAGATCTTCTTCAGCTTCAGTTGCATATTTTTTAAGCCTTTTTTGCCTTTCAAACATTCTGTAAGGAGTTGGGTTGCAAATAGGAAACTTCAGTAGGTTTAATGTAGTTCCTGAAATACCAAACAATATATTTAATAAAATTGCACACGGGAATAAGGGGAGGAGAAGTAACATTTTTGAAGAGCTACACACTGTCTTTGAGTACTGTGATTTATTTCACTTAACCTTCATGACAACTCTACAAAATTATCCTTACTTTACAGGTGAGGAAATGGGCTCAGAGACTGGCTCACAGGCTCAGCCAGTATGTGAATCCCAAATCAGCAAGCCTGATTTCTTTTTATTTTCCCCATCCTACCACCCTATACAAAAGCACTGCTGTGTATAATTCAGGGGAGGAAAGAACAGCTTACAAAGCAAAGTTAAATGCTGGTTTCAAAGAAACAAATGAGACAGTTTTGCCAAATGTTAAACACAAGTAGGGTCACAGAAGGACCCATTTTGCATCTTAAAGCCACGAAATTAACATTTCTTCTCAACAAAGCCACATATCATACTGTGTTAGTGAATTATTAAAATGTAAAATGTGTATAGTATACTGATCGCATGAATAAACTCAAGATAGTGGAGGTAGGTTTAGAAAGTCAAAGGACATTCCAGGAAATCATACAAAGTAAAGCTAGAGGGTAACATCCAAGAGAGCAGGAACTTTGTTTTGTTGCCTGGCTTATCTGTCTCCAATGTCTAGAACCGTGACTGGAAAACAGAAGTGCTCCATAAATATTTGTATTACTATTCCAAGCCCTAAGCTGATAATAGAGAGAGGTGTGACTAAAATAGGGAGACAATTGTTAAGAGGAAGGCTCCAGACAGTTCCTGGTGGATATTAAGCATCTAGGAAAACGAAGGGGTTTAGTAAACATTTGATAGACTTCTGTCTCAAAACAAAAACAAAACACGAAGGGGGCGGACCTCCTAAGGCTCACCAGGCCAAGACGAGATGGTGGCTCGGTCCATAGCCTCAGTGCCCTTGGCGATGCAGTAATCTGACGCCAAGAGCGTGTTGAAGAGAGTGGACTTGCCAGTGTTGGTGGCGCCAACCAAGTAGACGTCGCCGCGGTAGCGCCAGGAGCGCTGAAGCGCAGAGATCAACTCTTCCACTCCGTAGCCAGTCTTGGCGCTGATAAGCCGCACGTCTGTGAGTATAGTACGGGACCTGGCCGAGAGATTCCAATTCTCTTCCCCATCGGGTGGCCCGCCCCCGCCGGGGTGCAGTGGCCCTCGGTGGCCGGGGGGCCGCAGGAGCCCGGCGCGGGCACAGTCTTCCCACAGACGCTCCCGGAGCCGCTGCAGGTAGCCGGGAGCGTCCTGAGGCAGGAGGTCCACCTTGTTCCCCAGCACGATCAGCTGCTTGGGGCCTACCATCGCGGGCAGATCCGGCAGCAGGGCGTCGGGCAAATCGAGCAAGTCCACCATGTAGAGCACCAAAGCGGGCCCGGGCTGCCGCAACGCAGCACTCACCAACTCCAGGTACTGTTCGCGGCTCACCTGCAAGCGCAAGGCGCGCCGGTGGTGCACCAGTAGCCAGCAGCGCTGGCACACGGTCCGTGCCAGACCGCCGTCGCCCTGTGCCACTGCGCTAAGGAACTTCTCACTGGGCAGGTAGCCGGGCACGCCAGGGTCCTGGCAGTGCAGTTCAGCCCCACAGCCCGAGCAGTTCAGGCCGCTGGGCGGCACCGTCGGGTCTGGGTGCCCCACGACTGGATGTACCCGGAGGCCGGCCCGTAGCTTCTGCTGCCGCCGTTCCTCCCGCCGCTGTTGCTTCCGTCGTTCCTCCTCCTCCTGGCGCTGCTGCAGTTCCCGTAGCTCTTCTTCGAGAGCCGGTGCGGGCTCCGGCTCCGAGACGTACTCAGGGAACAGAAAACGCTCCTCCATGTCGTCCCTTCCTTCGTAACTCCCACTTGCCGTGGGGCCACGAAGAAGCCCACGTCCCAGGCTCGCTGGGTGCTGGGAGGAGGTGGCGGCCGCGCATCGTCTCTCGAGGAGCGGCTCGCGGAGGCCAGAGCGCACTACCGTGGGAGTGGATCCCCTAAGTAAGGGCCAGAGCAGTCTACCCGTCAAGCGTGCAGGCAGCATGGGGAACGCGGCCTTGGACACAGAGGGCGGGGCGGGGGGGGGCGGTGGTAGGGGAGGGGTGGAGCCACGTGCGCGCACGCGCGATGGGGCCCGCGAGGCGCTTTAAACCCTAGACAAAAGCCCGGTACTGCCTGAAAGCTGTCATTTGTCAGCCGCCAAATTTCGTTTCCTCCTCCCGCATCTAATCATGTACATTCTCGTAATGAAGGCTGTGAGGCTTGAGATCCCGCTTAAATCTGCGGCAAAGTTACCAGGACCTAGATTGTGCTGGGTGTAATGAAGAGGCTAGTGAGGGTTTTGTCACTCTCAGGTTTCTTCAACACGCCACTACTGGCCAAACCCACCCACAGTTGCGTTTTAAAAAGTATTGGTTTTTGTCCTTAAAAGTGCAAAGACTAGAGCATTAAATGTCGCGGACTTACGGCCGGAATGAAAATTTTTTATTAATAAGTATTGGCTTTCTTTTTTTTCAGATGTCGTTATTTGTGTAATAACATTGAAAAACAAACAAAAACCTTCATTGGCTGGATCCGATCCTCAGACTGTACTAGATGTGCGCGCAATCAGCTACGTGAGGCGGTCGCCCACAATTTGCGCCTGCGCAATTCTAGCCCGGCCCAAGCCTTGATCTACTATGCGCAGGCGCAGACTTTAACACTGGCTTGCGGGTGGCCTCTGGCGGAAGACGCAGAGTATTCTGGGAACGCCGGAGGCGGAAATCACTTTGTCTCACGTTCGGGGTGCCGGTGGTTGCTGCGTACCTTTCTGTCTGCGATTTCAAGAATTAGGAGTTCGGTGAACCGTTTGCCAATATGTATGACGCAGACGAGGGTAGGTGACCCTTCAGAACACACCGCGGAGATCCACTTAAGGATGGAGTCGTGGGGAGCTGGACAAATTGAGGATTCGCGGCCTTCCCCCTATCCCGCCACAAGTGCCCCCAGTCGTGTACCCCACTTACCCCAGACCCGGAACGAAGCCGGGATTGCGAGAGGTGGAGGGTTCAGGGAGTGCAGCAATGTTCCCGGTCAGCGTGATAGTGTCCTGTCCACTGCTTACTCGATGAATCAACACTACCTTCCCGTATTCTAAATAGCATGTAGAACTGTAAGACAGATTGTTTTGACTTTTAAGTAAAGGGCACGTTTTTTTCATTTCCTTAAGGCCAGAGTTATTTGATTTATTGAACAGTTGAATTTTGGAGCGTCAGTCTGTGTGAGGCGTTGTGCGAGGCTCTGGAATTACACTGGGAACAAAGAAGAGAGTGTGTGTGCGTGTGGCGGGGGGTGGTGGTTGGACCAATTTGGCAGTCCTTCATGCTGTCGTGTATCTAAGTCGTCTTAGAAGATGACCTTTAAATTTCCTTTTCCCACAAAATGACGGTTAACTGGGCCAATAGGTCTTTTTCTTCTCACATATATGATTTACTTTTCACATATGTGATTAATCATATCTAGTGTATTTTCATTGTGTATTTTGAAAGATCTCTCTTCCATTCTCCACAGCTGCGATTTCAGACTTCACTTTCTTCTCTCAATTCTGTGGCCACCCTCACATTTCTTCTTGTTCCCTCAACTGCTTAATGGAAAAAATAGGAAAACAAATGCTTAAACTCTGCTGTTTAAACTTTTTTTGTCTCATTTATAACTGAGTCTAGAAATTTATTAGCATCATTACATTTTCCTTAACTCTTATCTCAATGGAAAAGAAATTCAAAAAAGTTTTTTAGTTTCATTTTTTGAGCAGGTAATACGTTCTTGTGTCTCACAGCCAGAACATGTGTCAGGTCTCTTTCTTGTCCACCACCTGTCCAGTGTGAAGCCCCTGCACAGCAGGTAATCCCTGGTCCTTGAGTCTTATCACTTCATAATTCTGTATGCAATTCAAGCAAATAAATGGGATTGTATTTCCCCCCTTTACAGATGAATATTTACACTTTTCTGTGTTTTTATTTTTTGCCTTATATATATCTAGATTTTCATGTTAATATATAGAGAGTGTCCTCTTTTCCCTCCCCCACAGCTACCTAGTTTGAGTGGATACCATAACTGAAGTAGTGTCTTATTGTGGGTATTTGGATTCTTTCCACTTTTTTTCTGGTTCAAACAGTGCTGGAATGAATAATCTTGTACATGTCATTTTGTCCAATACAGGTATGTCTGTAGATAATTTCTAGATGTAGAATTGTCACGTCAAGTGATAAACACATTTAATGTTTTGTTAGATGATGTCAAGTGACCATAATGATTGCTTTATCTTCTCATTAACATTGTATAATAATGCTGTCAAAAAAAGAGTTACAAGTTATCCCATTTATCAAATCTGTTTCAGAATCAAGTTTACATTTCATTTCTGCCTCTGTCCTTTGATATCTTAGTTAGATATGTCTCCATCAGTTTTTAGATATTCCTTTTCACCTGACTTCTATGTGAAACATTAAATCTCTCTTGTCTGCAAGAAAATGAGTTAAACTCTTTTATTTTTTTCCCTTTCCTTCCAATATTTTGCCTTTCTCCTGCCATCACAGTATGCTTCTAAAAAGAATAGGCTGTTCTTGTTTCTAATTTCCAGCTTCAGGTTTTCCTCAACCCACTGCAATCTGATTCTGCTCATGCCACTACAGTAAAGAGCTTTTTTTAATATCAGTGATTTCTCAATTGATAAGTAAGGTAGACATTTTTAAACTTAAATTTTTTTTTTCTATTTATCAGTAAGAGAGAGAAACAACAATTTGTTCTTTCCCTTATGCATTCATTGGTTACTACTTTTATGTCCCCTGAACAGGAATCAAACCTGCAACCATGGAATATCGGGGACAATGTTTTAACCACCTGAGATACCTAGCCAGGGTTGACATTTTTAAACTTTATCCAAACCCTATTGTATTCAACATTGTTGACAGCCTACTCCTGAAAACTCACTCCTGTCTTTTGCCACATCACTGTCACTTAATTCTTACCTATGTGACTTTTCTTCTTATGTCTTCTGTTGTTCACATTCGTCCTGGATGATTTCATTCTTTCTTTATGGCTTCAGTTACCATCAGTATGTGGATGACTTCTGAAAATATATCTCCAGGCCAGATGGACAGTTTCACAGGTTTATCTCTCAGGCCCCTCAAACTTGTCACTGCTCAAACTGAGCATTTTCCTTTACCAGTCCTTTTTCCAAAGATGTTTTCTTCTGTGTTTTCCATCTTAGTGAGTGGTATCACCTTCTGTTGTTGAAACCAGAACCTGGACATCATTCTTAATTGCCCTCCTTCACCCCTATATCTAATTAGTTATCATGCTTTGGGGGTTCTCTCTCCTAAATATGTGAAATCTAGTAACTTCTTTGTCCCCTCTGCCGTAGTTCTAATTCAGGCCATCACCCTCTGTTGCTTGGATTATTTACTCAGTCTCCTTACTGCTAGTTTTCTTGCCTCTCCAATCCACTCTCCATAGAGTAGACATAGTGATTTTTCAGAAATGAAAATCTGATGTAGCTCTACCCTTGCTTGAATCTTAGATGGGTTCCTCAAATCTCTATTAGTGAAGACCTAGCTCTTTGGCCAATCCCAGCTTCACACTACATAGTTCAACTATATTGACCTTCTTTCATTTCTTGAATATCTTTCATTGCGGAGTCTTTTGCACAAGTTGTATTTTCTGTTTGGAATACTTTCTATCCCTCCCACTATAACCTGTAGCTGCATTCATTGTTTTAGTTATTGGAGAATAAAAAACCTGCCCAGATTCAAAGGAAGGGAACATAGACCCCTATATTTTGATGGTAGGAATGTCAAGATCACAATTAAAAAAGCTTGTAAAATGGAGAATATGATTGGAAAATCATATGGACATGTATGATATATTGCTGTAATGGTCCACCTAACCTTAATGTATTGCTCAGCTATTGGACCCCTTTTCTATCTCCACACTCTTAACCTCAATCTCTGACTCCAGTCTCTGAGGGGTTTAATGACCAGAGGACTGTGAGCTTGCTCCTAGTTACCTTCATAGTTAGCTGTTAATGAGAATTACATGGACTTTCTGGAGAAGATGAAGAACTACGAATTCACACTTACGCTGAACCTTTGTAATGAGGCCTCTGTATCTTGGGAGGATACCTATGTGATATAGACCTGTACATAGATGTATGCCTATGTAATTTAATTATAATTTAATTAATATAATTGAAATTTTTGAAAAGCAAGGTGAAAAAATTGCTTTTTATTTAGCAGAGAGTAAATATATTCCCACCTACTTAACATCTTTGGAGCAAGATGTTAATTAGTAGCATTTTATTCCAAACTAGTGCAATATTTTTCTTTTTTGCAGATATGCAATATGATGAGGATGATGATGAAATCACCCCTGATTTGTGGCAAGAAGCATGCTGGATTGTAATCAGGTAACTTTTTGGACTAAACTGAATAAACTTTAGAAGGAACTATAACCTATGAAGGAATTTCCTACTTACTCTGTTCTTGAAAATTAAATGTTCTATGTGAATGTGTTACATGAGAGCCAGTTTGTTTGTTTGTTTGTTTATATTTTAAGTATTTTGGGCTTATAGAAAGGTTACACAAAGGGTTCATGTATAACTTTATCTAAATGTTAGTTAACCTTTTACTATATAGTCTTTGTCTTCTTTCTCCATATTTTTCCTGAAACATTTGAGAATAAGTTTTAGACATAAAAACATTATTTTACATAACGTCATAAAAATCAGGAAATTAATATGTTGGGTTGGCCAAAAAGTTCACTTAGTGTTTTCTATGTGATAGCTCTAGCAATGTTTAGTTGCCTTTAACTTCATTTGAAACTATTTTGTTAGATTGTATTGTGTCATATCAGCGTGCATTAAAAAATACTTAATTAAAATTGATAAATTTTTGTGCAACCATTTTAATATGGAAGGTGGAAGAAAATATGCAACATTTTGGCATATTATGCTTTATTATTTCAGGAAAGGTAAAAATACATCTGAAATGCAAGGTTTGTGCAGTATATGCAGAAGGTTCTGTGACTGACT